ACTTTTTGCTTAATGGGTACAGAGTTTAAGTTTAGGATGATGAAAAAGTTTTGGAAATAGAGGTGGCAGTCACAGAGCATTGTGAATGTAATTAATTCCACATAATCATATGTTAAAAAAATGCTTAAAATGGCAAACCTTATATTATCTATATTTTAACACAATAAAAAAATAAATAAATACATTTTAAAAATTAAGAAAAAGGAAAGTCCATTTCCATATTTTCCTTAGTCCCCTGAAGAATTCAGAATTAATTGCATAAATTTAGAAGTGGCTAATTTTTAATAGAAATTTAATCTGTATGTTACCCCAGTGGAAAATGTACCCTGTTTACAAATCGAGAAGGTCAGTGTGGCAGTGTAACCCAATCATGCTTTATAAATGGGTCGACTTTTCCCTGGACCATTGTGTATCATACAGCTTTTGCACAAGCTTGTTAAATTTTAGACATTCAAGTCCATCAAGTTTAAAATGTTTGGGTACCTTGGTTACATTTCCCATTACTGGTTAAGACTCCATCATCTAATATTAGGAATTTACGTAGGAACTGCAAACTTGCTAAGGAGAAAAGTTAGTAGATAATAATTTTGCCTGAAGAAACAATGTATCATGATCTGAGACCAGCCCAGAGAGTGGCCATTTCCATTCTCTATTACATTTCCATTCTGAACCCCTGAAAACAGCCTGTAGGAGTTAGAAAAGTGTAATGAAAACATTTTTGAAGATTCAAGTCAAGCCATCTTATTGGGAAGTAGGGAACTATTGATTTTAATTCATTATTTGTGTTTGGAAGAAAATAATTATTTGAAAATTGCAAAATAAGAAAAACGCAGTATTTCTTTTAGGCTCTCAAAACCCCAGCATTTTCCTCTTGGTAGACACAAGCTACTGTTCTCTAGTTCTCTAACCCTCTAAATGGAGGCTGGAATTCATGGGGTTTGCCTTCTCATGGTGGACAATTATTTGAGGTTGTGAAACTTGGAGTGAAAAGGGGGAAGGGGGAGTCTCACATTTTGATGATATAAGAATGATAGGAGGAGGGAGGGCACAAAATAAGATTGCCACCTGCCCGTGGTCTTCCTTTCTTGAACAATATCTTCAGGCCACAAGCAATTATCAATTCAAACAGTCCTTTAAAATGTTAAAAAATAATATAAAACATGTATTAAGAACCAACTTTGAAATATGCACTTTA